GCTTTGCTGCCGCGCCATAATCACGGCATCGCTGTCAGCGGCGGCGGCCGCCCACGTGTCAGAACGAGCGTCCTCCATCATCCCGGCATCATCCTTCTCGTCGTCGTCGTCGTCGGCGGCGGCGGCGGCGCTCCCCTTCCCGATGGACGATGGCCCAGGAACGCCGTCTCCGGGGTTTGCACCGGAATCGTTCTCGCTACGGCGGTGTATCGGCGGGCGGGTACTACCACCACCACCACCACTATCACCATCACCGCTACTGCTGTTGAGAGTACGGTTACTGCTATCGAGAGTACGGTTGTTGCTGTTGTAGCAGCGGAACCTAGACGATTCGCGCGCCTGGTCGACCCAAAGGACCGGCGGCGGTGCACGCTTCTCCAGTGGCGTGGAAACCCCGTCCGCGTCCTCGTCCGGTGCCGGAAGGATCAGCACGAATAGGCGTACCTAGAAGGTGGTCAGGGGCAGGGGAGGGGGGAGGGTACTCAAAGTCGTGCACGCCTTATTTAGTCGTTGGACCGTTGACCTCGCATCCCCTCAAAGGGGGGTGGTGCAAACGCATGTGTAGCCGTTACCTAGACCATTGACCTCGCATCCCTACAATGCTATCGGGACGGAGCGATGTGTCGGGGTTTTCACCGGCCCAGGCTACGTTTCGCAAGGATGCACCAGGGGTAGGGGGGTAGGTAAGGGATGGGAGATAGCAGAGGGGTTCGTGCCATCCATACCATCGCAAGGCTATCGCCGCCGGGCGACAACATATACAAAGGGCTACAACGTCACCAAGTACACAAGAAGAAAAAGAAACAAATAAATAAATAAAGAACAAAAACTAGGAAATTCGTCCTCGACAGACTTTGGGGAGAGTGTGCCCGTTGTGATGAGAGTGATCCCCACACAACCACCACTTGCTCGCTTTCGCCAGGGTGCACGAAGAAAGCGAAAGCAATACCTACCTATCTAAATAAAGACGTCCAAGTGAAAACCAAATCAGTGGTGTAGTAGAACACTGCTGAGCAATGTCAACGAGAATTACCCAATCCTCCCTTCTCCCCCCCCAGGAGGTACATCGGCGTGCACGAGGTATTTATTCGTGCACCGCCAGCGCCCACCTTTTTTAGACCAAAACAACAAGAACGACAAGTACGCACATAGAAATCGAGAGCCACGCACAGCAGGGGCGAGACGCGCCGCCCCCCCCGCCGGGCAAGCTTGTCTATGCGGTGCAGCAGGACCCGGATCGCGGCCTCCTTGGCGTAGGGCCTGTCCACGACGCTCGCCCGGTACTGGCTGAGACACCTCTGCCCGCCGCCCCCAGACCACCATTGGTCGGCGGCAGAGCACCCGCATGCCAAGAGAGGAAAAGGCCAAGGGGGTGGTTGATTGTTAGCGGGTGGGGTGGGCGCTGGGGCAATCTCGGATATACCCTCGCGCTCGCGTACATGGATGACAGCAGTAGTTCGGATACAAATACAAAAAAAATGGCTGTTTGTACCTATGCACGCCCTTCGGGTTTCTCGCGCTTCAAGCGTCCTCCTTCCGCTACATACGCATATTGTCGGCTGAGAAATGCAGCCTGCTAGGGCCCACTATTCCCTGCGGACTCCGCACGCCAAGCCTACTGCAGGCAGGCGAGTCGCGATGAGGGGTGGGAAGGGAGTTACGCGAGGGGTGGTGTTGATGTTATCTGGGGGGGGGGGCTGGTACAACGCCCAACAACGGAGTCAAGCACGCAACAAAAAACATAAGACGGTTTTCGCATAAAACGGCCAACTAGACCAAGTCTACCGTAGGCGACGTAAGATATCACACCCCCCGGGACCGATTTTCAAAGCTCGATTACTCGGAAAGAAAAGCGGTGACGGTGCCGGAAACTGCAGCTTTTGAACCGTCTCGTCGAGAGCTTTCCAAAAACGTACCATTTGATTTCGGCATCCTCTTCGTCATGGAGATGTCGATCTTTGAAAATCGGTCCAGGGGGTGTGATATCGTATGCAATCTTCGGTATCCATGAAGCTCGTAACATTCGTCGCTACTTTGATGCGAGTTTTCTACGAATCGGGCAACAAGAGATGTGGTTTGAACCGCTTGAACACGCCTAGCGTACATGTAGGTACGACAGCACGAAGACCTGGTGCAAGAAGACGTATATCGTACACTCTTCACGCCTAGACGAGTCGGTTTCGGCGGCAAAAAGCGCTGCGCGCTGACCAGACCTTCTTGCAAGGTTTGGTGACGCTAGCCTTGCTTGCACCGTGCTCGCAGACGTACCCCATCGTTTGCTGTTCGGGTGTTCTCATCGTTCGTCCGGCAACGAAGATCTCCTCTACACATCGTCCGTTGCCCTCTTTTTATTTTGACGACTGCACCACCAAAGAACTATCATTTCGCGGTCCGTCGGGAAGAAGAAGGCGGACGCACAAAGTCCCCAAACAACGGCAAGCCTGTGCGTACATTACCTCACAAATCTGGTTCGCGGAAAATGTAGTCGTCCCCGCTGTAAAGACACACGTGGGGTTTACAAAGAAGCGTCTCGAACGAGGGGAAGCGTCTCTCAAGCCCCCCCCCTCCCCCCCCCCCCTTTTTTTAGAAACCACTGGGCCCCAAGGTTCTCTAAAACATTTCGTCTTCTTTAAAGCGGGGAGTCGACGTATCCCGAGCGTCTTTAAATCGGGCATCACTGTGCACAGCAAAAAAATGAACCATCTATCCAGGTCAAACCTTGCGTCCTCCGCCCTTGTTCTTCCCGCAGAGCACCGCTAGGTCGGTCGCCGCAACCGCCAACACGCCCCCGTCAGCCACGGCCCCCACGGCCGCCTCAAGAAACGGTAAGCAGCTGCCGAAGGGGTCCACATCGACGAAGTCCCAACCACCGGCGGGGACTAGCCCCGTGCGACAGCTACCGCCACTGCTACCGCTGCGGCTGCGGCTGCCGCCATCGCCGCCGCGGCCGCCGCTGCCACCGCTGCCGCTGTCCCTCTTGTCTCCTGCAACGACCGGCGTCGCCGCCGCCGCCGCCGCCGCCGCCGCGGCCACCGTTCCAGCCTGGGTCGGTTCCGTCGGGAGCGCGGGTGCGCCGGAAGCGAGAGCGGTGACACCGGAGAGCAGGAGATCGTTCGCGTCCCCCATGCGCACGGCGAAAGAAGAGGTGGCAGGGGGCGGCGGTACCACCGACGCCGCTTCCGAACGTGCACCGATCGAAGCAAGCCGCCGCCGCCGTCGCCGTTTCTCCGGTGTCCCAAGCTCGTTGTCAGCTGACGCTTCAAAATCCTTATCGGTAGACGATTTCTGTTGCTCATCCTCCTCCGCCGCCGCCGTTGCTACCGTGACGGGCGTTGCTGTGTCAAAAATTCGTTTGTCGTTGGATGAGGGAGAGGACACTCCTGGTGGGGTTGCCCCGTGCGCGAGCACGTCGACGGTGGTAATGCCGCTCAGGAGGGCGCTGCGACGTACGGCTGCAACGCACACCGGCGCGCGCCGGCACCAGCGGCGGCAGCGGCGGCGGCGGCGGCAGAAAGTGCGCGGTTTGAGAAGAAGTTAGCGGCGTTCGGTTGAATTGAGAACAAGTTCAAAGTTGATAGTTGACGATCGATATAAGGCGAGTTTAGCAAGAGTGTACATAGGTAACAGCGTCGAACAGCTTCCGACCCCAGTTGACATGTGCGTGAGCGAGAGTGTACATAGGGAAAAGCGTCGTCGTCAGGTATTGGTAGTTGTCTTCGAGCGCGTGTGTTCTTGGTCTTCCTCCTCCGCCAAAAACCAACAAGCTCAAAAAGGCGCAGCAAACAAAAAACAACAAAAAGGGGTCAAGCTCCGGTTGGACAGAAGCATGCTTGAGCGGGCGGCCCCGATAACCTCTTCGACATCAGATCTACCCACGTGTCCGATCACGGCAATCCACTGCCGTCCGCACGCACCTACGGTGCTACCTACGGTGCTGGTGTTGAAAGTAACGCGAAGCCCGGTCTCACGACCAGCACAGCGAGCTACTCTAGCCCCAGCCTAAGAGGTAAACAAAGCCAACAAGAGCCGCTCCTCTCCCCGACAAATAACCCCCCCGACAAATAAAGAAAACGTGCAATCAGCTTGCTGCTGCCGGGACACCCTTCTAAAAAGTCGATCAACAAAAACTATCAACAAGAGAGAGCGAGAGAGAGAGAGACAGACAGACAGACAGACAGAGATTAAGAGAGAGAGAGAGAGAGAGAGAGAGAGAGAGAGAGAGAGAGAGAGAGAGAGAGAGAGAGAGAGAGAGAGAGAGAGAGAGACAACAGTAGCCAAATAGATTCCCGAACTCTCTGGGCCACGAAGTGACTGGTAGTACCTTCACAAGCCTCCTCGGAATGGTCGTTGGCCAACACTTCCACGGGGCCGGCTTCTAGAGCGTACCGGATGGCGCGGACACCTCCTCCCGCCAGCACATCGCTGTCGACCAAAACGGGGGCACGACCAGCAGGGGTTTGGGCAAAGTGATCGTGTCAGTTCCGGTAGGGGTAAGGCTGAGGGTTAGGAGACTAGCCCGAAGCGTCTTCTTGCCAGAAACGAGTGAGCGGTCCGAGCGCGGCAAGAGGGTGTTGATGACACGATAGTCCGGCGGGGAAAAGCGGCATCGCGCTGCTTCTTCTCAGGCTGCAACGCAGCAGCAAGAAGGCCGAGGTGTATCTCCAAAAGTGTACACGGCGTACGTACCAATCATGACAAAGAGCTGCTGCTCTACCTTGGGGGCGGTGATACGGCAATCACCAATCCATAGCGTGTGCGGTGAATATTCACTATCTACCAACGGAGAGGAATACAGTATTACGAAAGTTCGCTACTGATGTTGTGTATGCACACAAATCCTTCGTTCACCGAAGCAGCGCGAAAGCTCGCCGATGAAGGAATATGTGCAGGGGACAGGATGTGGAGATTCAGAACACACACCATCGTTTGCCAGAGCAAAAGCGCAGCACAAAAGCTCGACGCACCACAATCGAAGGACGCGCGTTGCTGCTCCTCGCTCTGGCGGGCTCGCTCCCCCCCCCCCAAAGTTTTCGGCATCGGCCTCGCCGCCATTCACTTCTTCCTTGCCCCCCCCACCCCCCCGCGGGGCCTCGTCCCGGTGCCCATGTCGACCAACATGCAACCCCCCGATCGGCGCAACTCCTCCGTTGCTGTTGTTGCTGTCGTCGTCGTCGTTGTTGCTATGGTTGGTGCTGTTGTTGTTGGCGGCAGTGGCGGCGGATGATGGATGCCGCCGCTTGGGGGCGGGGCGGAGGGAGCCCTCGAGCGCAAACTGGCGGTAGGCTCGGAGGACCGCGACCGATAGATCTCGCTGAAGAACCTTGTCTCCCGCAACAATTCGGAACAATTCGGAACAATTCGGAAGCGGTCCGGGGAGGCGCCCCAGTGGGCTCGACTGACTGCGGTCTACGTGTGTCCGTCGTTTGAACCGATCGGCGTGGTGACTACGACACGTTCCCCTACAATGTAGTCCTACAGTACGCAAACAGTACGCATGTCGCTACCGGTTGTTGTCAAACGCTGCTTCCTCGATACACCGGCAGCAGTCCCTTCATCGTCGAATTCACACTCAACATCCGCAACGGATTTGTTTCGCTTTCTCGAGCAGGATAAGTGCTGCCATGCTAACGTAGACTGATGCAACATGGCTCACGGGCGCAAGGTACGACGGAAGCTCTTGAGGTGCCGGCGAATGGGGCTCACGCGACACATCGAGCCTCATGACGATCAAGGTGCCATATGAATGTGACAATAAAAACAGCAGTTGCCGCGGTTGCGCACCTGATGGTCGCTGTAAAACACCCCCGGAGTGACGGAGAGCAGAGCTCGACCTGCGTGCACACGGATGGCGACATGCAGAGAGAGGTGTAGTCTACACCCCAACTGATCGACGAAGCACTCACCCCCATACGAACGGCGATTCAACAGCAACACACGACGACGAGAGACGTGGAGTCGCAGAGGCGTCGCTGAAAGTGAACAGCTTGTCCACTGGAGCAGCGCGGGCCTTTTTTCAGACAGCGTGGACTGCAATCCTAGCAACATCGTGTGAGAACACGAAAGGTAGAGCTGCAATCTTGACTTTTACCGCAGTATACACGCCACCTAGCAAACCCAGGCCATTGTAAATTACCAGTATGTACCTGCAGCACCACAACGTCATTACTCGTTCAAATTATTGGCAGTGAGCATGAGAGTTCGTCTTCTCTCGACGCACCTTCCGCAATGACCTTCTCCTCCTTGCCGTTCGCCATGATACCCGTGAGCACTGAACTGATGAAAATGCGGTGCAACCAAGTGCAACCAGTCGGGTTTTGACTTCGTGACGGAGCAAGGCTCCTCTCGGTGTATAGCCAACTCACAGCCCGGCGGTCTGCCAGCCCGCCAGCCACACCTGTTGCAACATCCAACAGGAGGACAATAGTCCCGGCTGTTTGGGCGCGGAACACAGCGTAGCAGCCTCCCGCGCACGGAGCACCCTGATTGGAGCGAGGCAAAAAAACAAAGAGGCATGTTTGTGTGCGGCAAACTCGTAACTCGTACAGTCCCGGCCTCGAGTGTCCCCTTTGAAAAGACACACACACAGGCCAGCAGGTGCCAACTTGTTCCTCAGCCAGCATCCATATGCTCGTGCTTAACAAGCTGTGCTTCGTGCTCTCCGCCTCCTCGCGGTTGTCAGGGAAGCGAGCCGTCGCAAAGACCGCCGCAGCAGCAGCGGCGGGATCCTTCTCACCAACCTGCTGCAGGATGTCGTCGTCTGATCCAGCTTCAGCGGCGGCAGCAGCCGAGTGGCCGAACCCCGCCGCGTTCAATGCCCTGTCCCACAGCAGCCGCAGCAAGATCTACTGCGACTACGGGGACGAGGGGAGCATGACCTGGAAGCCCCACGAGGAACCCCCCAAGGTCTGTACGATGCTTCTTGTTTTCGCGTGTTGATCCTTCCTTGTGACACCGGGTGGTGTGCGCCCAGCGGAAGTTTTGTTGTACCGATGTGCATTTACCCTCCGGCAACTCGCTCTAAATATGCGAGGCGAACAGGATACGACGACCTTTTCACTCCCGCAGTCCGAAGTTTATATATAATCAGTTGGGGGGGTTGACGCGCGTGCTTCTCTTCATGCTCCAGCGTAGAGCACAACGCTAACTACAGGCGCCCGGCATAGTCTGTACGCAGATGGGAAGGAAGAAAACATGAGACCAAACGTGAAGATGTTGCGGTGGATCTGAGACGATGTTGGCACCCCCTCGGCACCACACTGGCACGTCGTGTGCTCATGCTGCTGAGCGTATTTTGCGCGTGAGTGTCGGGTTGGTGCTGAGGTAGAGCTCCATTGGCACACACACGAAACAGCGGCGGCAGAACCAGCAGCACCAGTGGTGGCATTGCTGCACTGCTGTTTAACTTGAAAGTTCGGGAGATAAACGCACTAACGCCCCGATTATCCGCTTGGGCCGAACAATTCTTTTCAAATACATACCCACCTCGTTGGGGTCGCTGCTGTAGCTCAGTTTCGGTAGGGGCACTGCACCACATATTTCGCTTGTTCCTACACACATCACCGTCTGCCGCGCGGCAGCAATGTGCTCCCCCACGCCTGGAAACAGAGCGTCATCCCATGGCCCATGCGCCTTTCGTTCACTCGAGGAAAAAAAACAAGCATTGCCAAGGCGTGGCCGCCCCTGCTGCCGAGCAAGCACCGTACCACTCGGACAAAGCCCGTTAACGTAGACGTTCATGCAGCAAAAATCCAGAGGTCCCAACACTCTGATGTTGCCTAAATAGATGTAGGAGTGCCCCCCCTGAATGTTACCGGGCATCACGTACGCCCCCCCTCCCAACCCCTCACTGCTCTACGTTGTCTGCTTGCATATGCACGCGCCCCCAGCACCCCCTGCCGCCGTTCACTGCGGAGACCGCTCTGAAGAAGACCAAAGCAGCGGAGGCGGCGTGGAACACCCGAGACCCGGCGAAGGTCGCCGCTGCTTACAGCCCGGACACTGTCTGGAGAAACAGGGACGAGATATTCGCAGGTGCATAGGTACATGGGTGTGTACACACCAGCACATATAAGAGTACGTACGTCGGCGAACTGCGAAATTCTTGCTTGTTGGGGTTTGATTTTGTCTCTGAGCGTAGTCTGAGCGATGTGTATGTATGTTGCAGCATTTGTGGGTGCTTAACAATGAGCCGGAACATGCTCGGATCGTGTTTCCTAGCGTATCGGTACTGCACGCACCTTTGAAGATGTGGGAACGACAAAATTTGTCTCGACTGACAACAGAAGCGTGGTTTTCATTTTTCTAGTCTTGGTGCCCCGCTACTGCCAAATTTCCTGCACCATAAACGAGCCTACCGCTTGTTCTCCGCCGCTTCAAAAAATCGACCTGCTGCCGTGTCCTGGCTGCGTCAATGGCAACCGCAACAAGCAGAGAGGGATTCTGCCATATGCTAGGATTTGTTTCTTGTGACAGCCGGCAGAATCCCAACCGACGAAGTCAAGTTCCGGAGGGTTGTTCTGATTCGTCCAGCGGCTTCGCAGGGTTCTTCTTTTCAGTAAACATGTTGGATAAAGCATACAATCGGGGAAGTTGGGTTAGGGTTAGGGGTAGGGGTAGGGTCTGCGTACCCCCTCCCTGTTCTATTTCCTCGTCAACTTAATTTCTCGCCAAGGCGATCCGATCCGATTGGTCACCTACAGCTGTGGTGGTTGCAGACACGTTTTACCGTATACCTCTCCGATTCCGGCTTAATGGGAGAATATTGAGAAGGGAATTAATTGTGGACTTTAGGTTGAGTTTCGTGCCGGTGTGGTTTCACCCATGCCCTCGCCTGCGAATCAAACAGGCTTGAGAGAGAAACAACCCAACTTCGAAGAACTAACTCATCGTGTGCTGAAGGCCTTGGGTCGAATAGGTTAAGGCTTTAGTTCGAGAAAGAAAAGGAGACGAAGCAGCAAACATGACGAAAGAAAATGTGTGTAAGGTTCAAGAGCCCGTAAAAGTGACTTTGACCTCTTAGGAACTCAAAAGGGGCTTTTTTTTTTGCGTATGTTTGTGGACATACTCTTAGTGGAGATGACCTTTGTAACCGGTCACACCCCCCCAACGACTATCGAGGACTATTCCTTTTGCTGACTTGATCTGATTTTGGTGCTCTGTTTGCCTTCAAAGGGAGGGAGGAAGTCCAAGCCTTCCTGACACGCAAGTGGAGCAAGGAGCAGGGGTACCGCCTCAAGAAGCACCTCTGGTCGTTCGAGGTATGTTGTTGTTGTTGTTATTGTTGTTGTGTTGTTGTTGTTGTTGTCGTTGTCGTTATCGTTGCTGCTGTTGCTGCTGTTTTTTTGTGATGTTGCCACCTTTGCGTGGGTTTTGCAAGGAGATTGTGAAGATTTCCCAACCTAGTTTACCTCATGAAAATAACTTCTTGTTTAACATCGGAGAAACAGGAGGCTATGCGAGGGAACTTTCTTGTTGCCACATGCATACGATATATTTATAGTTTACCGCCTCGCTGGGCAGGTCTGCTTACGATAGGCAAGGTAAAAGCAACCCACATCATCTGCATACTACGCCAGTGTGTCTCGCTCTGCCCACCCTGTCCCACGCTTGTTTGTGAGCACCTCAACTCACTTGAGGGTGGGTATCCTACGGTAAGGAAGGTAGACAACACTTGGGTACAGCTCGGGTGGGCTAGGTGTACTACTGCTGCTGAGCTGCTACTGCTGGTTCTGTGCGCTACTGCTGGTTCTGTGCGAGCAGTCACAGTGATGGTAGCGGGAGCAGGGAGCAGGTCCCTGCTCTGCCTGCAGAGTACCCATTGTTGTGGTATCTGTGGGGTGTATTTTAATTAATTAATTAATTGTTTCTGGTTTGGGGAATGTGTTTGGTTTTGGGCAGACAATATGGAGGCAGGATCAATTATTTCGGGCGCAAACGCCTTCCGGGCGACGCTCTTTGGTCGCGTGCGAAAGTCACCAAAGCTGTGGGAAGTGAACTCGAGGCGGGTCGGCGCACGGACAGAAGAACGCTATCCCCTAGCCCACACATGTTATAGGATTCAGATGTGTAGACGGAACATAGAAGAGCTTGGTTCCTTCTAGAAGGCGCGGAGAGATGTAACTCTCCGCGGAAGGATAAAAAGCAGGGGACAGGATCTAGTAGCCCCTGCTTGTGCAGAGGATCCTGTGCCCCTTGGTGTCATTCCTACCGATACCCAAGGCAACAGCTACTGCTGCTGCTGTTCTACAAGAGTAACAACAAGTGAGTTCTTCTTCACGGGTCAACCAGACTTCATCACGCGTGCATACCACTACACTTGGCGTTGTCGGCTTATTCGTACGGTGTTGTCTGGCTTGGTTGTGTCTTGGCGCGGTTGGTGCTTTAGACTGCTGCTGCAGTTTTTTTGCGCTTTCGCCCCAACCACAGCTTAGCTTTGCCTCGCTTATCGGTATGTCTCAATCTAGCGTCGGCTCATCGGACTCGGCTTCGGCGAGCCCTGAGCATTCTGAACGTTCGCGTTCGCCGGTGTCACCGCCTCGCGTAGCGACCTTCGGGTCCCCGGCAGCTGGCCGTCAGGCCACACAGCTGCTGCTGTCTTCGGACGGTGCTCGTGCCGCTGACCCTGTTGCCGATGCCGCTCGTTTGTCAGAGCTTCGCGCTCAACGCATTCGGGAGAGGTTCGCCTCGTCGGCTTCGGTCGACGCTAACCCCGTGGGTGCTGTCCTCAAACCGCCAGCACCCACACCTGGAACTTCGGTTCCTGCCTCTGTGTCTTTGGGTGTACAACAGCAGTCCGTCTCGACGGCTGCTGGTGATGAGCTTTCTGAATTCCCGCGTGAACCACATGTCGACTCGAATTTTCCTCTCGCCCCATCCACCGTTGAGCACCCTGCTCTTGGGACCGACATCGGTTTCGACCATGTTGCTGGCCCTGTAGTACCACGCTTGTCCAGTCGCTCGGCTTCTCGCAGCACGTTGCAGTTCGACTATACAGTGCCGGCGATTCCCCCTTTTTCTTCTCGTAGCGATCGTGTACAAGCAGCGGCTCGCGCTCAACGGCGTCCATACCGCGTTAACCCCCCGGTGGCGAAACAAGTTGACGCGATCCTTGATCAATATCTTGCCGCTGGTCTGATCCAACATTCGACCTCGCCCTACTCGAGTCCTTTGGTAGTCATACCGAATAAATCTGGTGGTGTTCGCATCACTGTCAACTATCGCAAGCTCAACAAGCTTTGTGCTTTGAGCCAGCTTCCGATTCCTCGAGTTGATGATACTTTGGACAAGTTGTTGAAAGGGCGAAATTATTCCCTTTTCGACATGAAGTCTTCATTCCACCAAATCACGGTTCACCGTGATACAATCCCTTTGACGGCATTCGTGACGTCTTCCGGGCTTTTTGAGTGGTTGAAGATGCCTCAAGGCAGTTCTGCTGCCCCTGGGTGGTTTTGCAAGGTGGTCAACGAAGTCATCAAAAATCTCCACGGTGTTGCATCGAACTTGGATGATTTGATCGTTTTCGACGACAACCCTGCTTCTCATGTTGATACCATGCGCGCTCTGTTTGAACGCTTGCGCACACACAACTTGAAACTCACCCCACCGAAGGCCACCATTGGCGCTACCGAAGCGGATTTCCTCGGCCACACCATCTCCCCTGACGGTGTTCGGCCTAACGGGGCCAAGGTTGCGACCCTCACCAAAATGCCCATGCCTAAGGATGTTAAACAACTTCGCTCTCTTCTTGGCGGCCTCAGCTACTACCGCAAGTTCCTTCCCAACATGGCTACGCGAATTCGACCTCTGACCACTCTTCTCAAGAAGCAGGCGACGTTTGCCTTCACCCCTGCCATGGAGCAAGCTGTTCGCGTCCTGCTGTCTGAGTTGGCCAATCCTCCTGTCTTGGTTTATCCAGACTGGGATGCCGTTACGGACGGCTCGCGACCTTTTCGCCTCTACTGTGATGCTAGTCGCGATGGGTTCGGCGGGACTCTCGAACAAGAACAGCCGGATGGCTCCATCCGGCCCATCGTTTTCATCAGCCGAGCTACTTTGGACTCCGAACGTCATTGGACTCCCCTCGACCTCGAGGCGGGTAGCATCGTATGGTGCATCAAACGACTTCGCGGTTATTTGTGGGGCACGAAATTTCGCATTTTTACCGACCACAAATCTCTTGAGCATTTTGCCAAGGTGGGGGAGAACAATGCCCGCGTTCAGCGTTGGCTTGAATTTCTTACCGCCTACAATTACACTCTCGAGTACCGCAAGGGTTCAGCAAATGGCAACGCTGATTTCCTCTCTCGCCTTCCGATCGATGCGGCGGAATGTGACCGATCTGGTCGCAGTCGCTTGACACCGGATGACGATGAGGAGAGCGTCTTCTTCATCCGTTCTTGTGGCCTTACGCCTTCTGGCCATCGCGCCGTGGGTGTTGGCTTGGGTGGGCTCGTCCCGACTTCCCCGACTTCGGTCTTGGGTGGGCTGGCCCCCTCTACAGATGATTTTGTCGACTTCCGTCGGCATGGTCCACGTCTCTCGCCGTCAGGCCTTTCGTCTCCGTCTGGCATCTGGAACATCGCACCCTGGCCGTCCATCAACTCCCGCGGGTTGTCTCCTTCGCTACGACGCCTGGGTGACAGGACCCTCGATTGGTCTGGCTCCTTACATTCTTCGGTGGAGGACATTTTGGCTCTCGAGCCCGAGTCTTCGCCGGCCGTCTCGCCGACTGCAGCATCACGACGGACTCTCGACCCTACTCAACTAATTTCCACGCGAACTCGCCGTCGCACGGCGGTTGTGGCAGGCACGCCCCTCCCGCCCGTGGATTATGGTTTCTCCGAGGACCCGCCTGCTCCTACTCGGATTTCCGCTTCGCCCCGATCGTTTCGACGTTCCCCGCCTGCACAATCAGCATCGACGGCGCCCCCCGTTTTGACCAGGTTGGTTTCGACTCCTGGTGCTGACCCTTCGATCTCGGACCTTCCTACGCCTCTGGCTCGTGGAAGGGATCTTGCGTCTTCGACGCATCCTGCAACTTCGGTTGCTCCTGCCCAGCAGTCTTCTGCTGCTCCCGATTCTTCGGAATCTTCGACGCATTTGGTTTCGACCACTTATACGCCTTCGTCCTCGGTTTCCGCTGCTACTCTGCCTTCGGGTGGATTGCAGCCGGAGCCTCAGGAATCGGCCCCCTCTTCTATCGAGGCGGCTTTACATTCCTCGGCAGATTTAGCCTTCCGGGCGTCTGTCGAACGTTTCTCGCATGCTGATTGGGCTCGCGAGCAACGTAACGAACCTGTTTGTGTTGCAGCTATTCGTTTCATCCTTCTGGGTCGGCCTTCGGCTCTCCCTCCGGATTTCCTGGATCATCTTCCGTCCGCTCGTCGACCCCCTCTGTCGGAGATTCGTGACCTGTCTAACAAAGGCCGGTTACATGTTGACGATGATGGTTTGGTCTTGCTTGTTCGCAAGCAAACAGCGCCCCCGTCGTCTACGACCACACGTCCTGGCGGGCGTGCTGCTCGCCTTCTCAACGACGAACCCATTCGGATTTATGTTCCCATGCTCATGCGTCCGTGGATCATGCAAGCCTGTCACGCTGATGCATCCTGCCACCTCGGTGCCGCTCGCACGCTTAGCATGCTGGAACGTTTTTATTGGTGGGTTGGCATGAGTGTTTGCACGAAGTGGTGGGTACGGCATTGTTTGCGATGCCAAGCTCGCAAGTCATCTCGTCAAACGCCTCGATGGCCTACTTTGTGCCTTCCGCTGCCTTCGGGCCCTGGTGTATCGGTGAGCGTCGATTATTTCGGTCCCCTCCCGTTGACACCGCGCGGAAACACATATATTCTGCTTTTCACTGATCGTTTCAGCCGCCGTGCTGACATGTACGCGGTTACGGCTGCAGAATTCACCGCCGAAGGCACCGCTGACGTACACGATCTTTTCTTACGATACCGGTCTTGTTGTGGTTCCTACAGTGACCCTTTCTTTTTGTCGTTATGACGACCTCTGTTTTTCTTTTCTGTTTTTCTTCCTTTCTTTGGTTCCGATCTTCTTCCGGTCGTCGTAGGCTTTTCTTAGCCCCGTCAGTTCCTTCCTGTCTGTGTCTTTTTGTCGTTTTAGAAGTCAAACGATGGTCTTCCGACTCATCGAGTGAGAGGTGTGGGAGGGTGAATTGTGCTGTTTTGGAGCTCCACATCCTCGATACTTTCATTTAGAGACTCGACAATTGCTTGTCAAGACTCGAGGTTTTACAGTATCTGCGTATGAGAACCTCCAGGGTGGGCTAGTGTTATAGGATTCAGATGTGTAGACGGAACATAGAAGAGCTTGGTTCCTTCTAGAAGGCGCGGAGAGATGTAACTCTCCGCGGAAGGATAAAAAGCAGGGGACAGGATCTAGTAGCCCCTGCTTGTGCAGAGGATCCTGTGCCCCTTGGTGTCATTCCTACCGATACCCAAGGCAACAGCTACTGCTGCTGCTGTTCTACAAGAGTAACAACAAGTGAGTTCTTCTTCACGGGTCAACCAGACTTCATCACGCGTGCATACCACTACACACACCCACGTCTCGTTAATACTGGTGGTGAAAAACTCCTTGCTCAACAGCAAATACAACAAATAGCCCTGGTGCCAGGTGTCAGTCAGTGCAGCCCGGCTTCTGTATGATCAGCGGAATCAATCGTGTACGCCACTGCTCTGGCAAATTTGATTAATCCATACAATCTCAAGTAATCAAGCAATTTTCGTTTTTTAGGAGACGATGCCCAACATCCCCGCCATCGATCGGGTAACCCGGGTTGACACACTATTTTCACCCCATCCAGTCCAACACATGTAGCGGCCGAAACAACCAGAACCACAAGTAAGTAAGTGTCGGAGTACCCCTAGCTCCGCACACACGCAGCCATCCCTGATGACCCTCCTCTGGCTCGGGGCTTACTGCCACCATAATACCAACTCCCCCGTTCCTCTCCGACTGCTTGCTAATACTCAGGGAAACCGCATCAGCGCTCGTTTCGAGTACGAGTGGTACGACGAGAAGGGTCAGTGGTACCGGACGCACGGCAACGAGCACTGGGAGTTCGACGACCTCGGGTACATGCGCTGGAGAGACATGAGCGCGAACGACATCCCTATCGACGAGAACGAGAGGAGGCTGACGACGTAGACTACAGAAAGACCGCGCCCGCTCTTGAGAACCTCTATTATTATTATTATTATCGTGTTGCCAGTGGGGCTCTTAGTTCCTAGTGTTTTGCTACGAATGGTCACTACAACAGAACAACTGTTGAACATTGGTTTTAGTGTAAGGGGTTCTCAACCGAGCTCGCAAATGGTGCCCAAGTTCTTGATTTGGTTTGTTGTAGATTGATCATGATCATCCAGGTTCTTACCTTCAGGCGCGTTCTGTAGTAGTAGTACTCTTTTTTCTTTTTTCCACATTTCTCGGTCCCTCGCACCCTCCCTCATCACGTCGCCAATAATAATAGAGACAGTCAAGATGACAACAAGTCAGAGAGAGCGAGAGGTGGGGGGAGGGGCAACGTCGTCTCCGTGGTGGAGAGCAAATGATCTAATAGATATAATAGAGAGGACGTAACGCACCACCACACCATGTTGCTGTGTCCTCCAGCATTCACTTTGGTTTTCGGCTTGGTTGAGTTTTTCAAAGTTTGTTTTTTGGGCAAGAGACGTAATCGACGGACACACAGGTCCTCGTTCCGTACGGAGGACTGTAGAAAAAAGTCAGGCTGTTCTTCTTTGCCCGCGCTGTTTCGAGAGGACCACAAACAACATAGAGAGGGAGAGGCAAGCCCGGCAGGGCCCCACTCGGTTTGTTGGGGGGAGGGGGGAAAGGAGAAGGACTTGATTATTTCCAATGCTTCCTTTTGTGCTCCTCCTCCTCGATCGGAGGAGAAGTTGGACCCTTGTACAAAGCAACACTAGTTTATTTTGAAGTATATACAAGGGTCTGGCGGCTTTCGCCGCCCCGCTCAATAGATCGGTTCCAAGATACGCGATAATAAGTGGTACTCAACATTCAATTGTGCCAGTACACGTAAAAGCATTTAAAATGAGAATAAATATGGATCGGTGCAGAAAGAGGGCGTACTCGATTCATGCCATGTAGCGTAGTAATTAATTGTAGTTTTCATAGTATCTGACGAACATCAAAATGAGGCAGTGGTGGTAGTGCTGGCGGCTTTTGCCGCCCCGCTCAATAGACCTCGACCGACCTCACCGTCAGAACTGCGCCCGGCGTCTACTCGCTTGGTTCATCGTACATCATCAACTGACTTGAGTAGATATCCGTATGCGTTGCGGCAGCAAAAGCTGTAGCACGGCACACAGGATTCAAATGCCATGCGGAGCGCGGGAGCTCATTGCTCGGCCAAACATATTGATCTGCTGTGGTGTGCCAAACGTACGTCGTTAGCCACACAACTGCGATGAGACGAGAGGTCCCAGCGAGAGAGAAAGGACTTGAGCAACAAACCGACCAAATCGTTCGAGCTACTGCTGCTGCTATGCTGGCGCGTCATCAGCAGCGTAAACCCGGGTTTGGTCGTGCCGGCCGACGCGATGAACGGCCATGTCACATGTTAACTGCCGGGTTTGGTCATGCCGGCCTACTGTATGCGATGAACAGGTATGGGAACATCTTAACATGCGCTCGTATCATCCATCCAAGTCTCGGGCTGTGCCCTACCGTTCCGTGAAATGGCCTGTGGTGTGGTGATGGACCGACCATCCAAAAATGCAGGTTCCGATGTCGGCCAAATCCTCCTCACGTGCTGGCGCACCCTGGGAAGTGCTAAACATCACCGCCAGGATACACCACACAAAGACAGCGGGAGTATGTGTTTTCGCAAGCACGACAGTGCAAGCTCATCTGGTTCTTTCAAAAGCTTGTTTTCATCGACAGCAGTCTCCTGTTCAAATCATTCAGAAGAGAGTGCAGAAGCGAAGACATCTACCATCGCAGCACGCCTCTCTAGTGTAGGCATCAACGGCAAGCAAACAGACAACGGCAACAACCGAAAACGATCCCCGAGGCAAAAAACGTCAGGCGCAGCAGAAACTACCACCAAAAAGAGACCCCCTTCCCCCAGTCCCCTCCCCTGCGGTCGTTTTGTCCTGCATCGGTCGACATGACACCTGTCCTATGAGCCCAAGAGAAATTTTAACGTGGCCGCGGCAGAGCATCATCCGGCTCCAATCTAGGGAGGACGAGGTGGTCCCCTCCCCGCATGGCAGCTTCTAAACATCAAAACAAAATCACACAGAAGGAACCGCTATTCACAAAAGCGCGCCCAGCAACAAAACTGGTCCAAAATGGCTGAAGGCCGCGCATGGGCTAGTAATCTAGTTGAAGGTGTATCCCGCGCCGAGGAGGTCGTTGATCACGTACGGCTTGTTGTTCAGCTCCTCGTGCACCATCAGGGCCAGGATGCCCATCTGTGCCGCGCGCCCGTTGTTCAGCTCGATCGCGCGCTTCGACGCCTGGGTCTCCTCCGACATCGCGTCCCACGAGGACCCGAACGGGTTGCCGCCCAGGGTGAAGTCTCCGGGGAACGAGCCCTCCACGTTCTTCATCACAGCCAGCTCAAGGAAGCCGATGAACGCGAAGATCTGGGCGAGGCCCGCCGGGGGGATCTTAGACAGAGCGGCCACGCCGTTCGGCATGTCCGCGAACGACAGGTTCGCCGAGTTCGAGAGCATGCCGGGGAGCCGGGTGTTCTGCTGGGTCAGGTGACCGGCGATGGCGAGCATAGCAATGCGCCCGTGCTTCACCTCCACGTACCGGAGGCGCTCGAACCGCTCCTGGTCCGCGTCCTCGAGGAGGCCGAGCGGGTCCCAGAATCCGAGGGGGGGCTGCGCGCCGATCTCCGACTCGAACGACATCTTCATGGCCGACGACGACTTGGCCGGGGTGGCCACGGCGGCGCCCTTGAACGCGCTGTTTTGAAGAGGGTAGGGGGGCATTGGGAAAAGGGAGGGGATAATTGAGTGGTCGAGCAAAGGGTTTGACGCTGGAAACGTAGTCAAGCTTGAGCGAGATGTACAACAGTAGTGGTGGCTACGGATATAGGGGGTCGTGACAAGCCAGTGTTTCTAGTAAACCGTACGTCACATGGAGTGTTGATGTATTTCTCATGGTCGTGACAAAGCCAGTTTGACTCTTGAATCGGTACTTTCTTTTTTTGATCGGAGGACAAACGACGGTACAGCAGTACACCTGCATACATATCGGATCATACAGTGTTGCAGATGAGATGATGGCGGAAACGCGACCGGTGACAACAAATTCCCTCATGGAACCAAAATTATTTCCACTATTGACAGTGCACGAGAGCAAGACACCCGCCGTAACCGTCAATGGCACAAGAATTTGCGTAGAGCTTTCGCGGACGGCGCGTTTTCTTTGTTTTTTTTTTACAATCAACCATCTGTTCCGTTGGAATCTTCCAGACCACGTGCACTCCACGAGAGAAAAATGTGCCGACCCAACAGACCGTGCGGGAAACTTGGAAACAGAACGCGGCAGCGCCTGGAACAGAACACGGCATATATCTAGCACTGCGTGACAGAGATACTGTAAGGAGTATGGGTTCCGCCAGATCCGTGATCAAGTTTGGCAGGCGTGCTAGAGCCAGGGAGTCCTTGACTCGGCGACAAACGGCCAATGTTTAATGTGCCCCGTGCGAATATACGTTCCTGCACAGAGCGAAAAATGTACAGGGTCGATTCAAACAACCACCTAATTGTTCTAAAAAAAAGCCACACACGGATGGGATAAATCGACGCTAGCACGTTCATCACATGTAGAGAGGTGTTTCTCTTTAGGACGTGGGTACCGCAGTATGACAAGGTAGGTCGGGCGTGTGCCATCGCGCATGAATTAAGCCAGTGAGGAACGCGGGTTTCGCGTGCCTCCATTTTAGCCGCCCTGAATATGCGACATGAATCATGCGCGGGTGACTTCCCCAAAAGCGGGGCACGTGATGAAACGGAGCGCCTGTTTGAAGCCGGCGGTCACGATACGTAAATAGTCGCGCATGCGAAACAAGTACTACCGCTCGAGATGTTTCAGATCGAACTTGACAAGGCAACATGAATGCCGTTGTTTCTTCAGAAGGGTCGGTGGGCCACCTCTGCCGGCCTGTTCGGCTCTTGTGCGTACCAGCAGCCCCCAAAAAACAATCGCCGTTGTAAATGGGGTTTGATCATGCAGCGCATCGCACACACCGCATCTAGCAGAAGGAACGCGGCGGCGGCGCCAGGCCGAGGGCATCAATTGACTCATGGGACGGGGATGGAGACGCTAGAGCGCCGAGGATGGGGATGGAGACGCTGGAGCGCCGAGAGAGCACACAAGCAGCAGATGGCGGAAAGCTTCAGAAAAATATTCGATACCAAACCTGCCCATCAAGACATTTTCAACAAGAAGCTTGATCTGGCTACTACTCTCACCTGGGTGCCACGAAGGCTTGGGCTCCGGCCACGCAGGCAGCGGCTACAACGCAGGACTTCATCTTGATGTGAGGTGGTGGTGTGGGAAGAGAAAGGTGTTGAGAGATTTTGTGGGCAGGAAACAGAGTGAGGGAGAGTGGGCGGGCGCGTGTGCTCGCGTGCTGATAAAGGACAGATCTTGGGGGGGCATATGACATCAACAATAGCGCGACCAATCAACGGCAGCGGGACTGTTCGCGAAACGGCAAAATTGCGCCGCCTTTTCTAAAATGTAGCACATGAGCACATGTACAGCAGCCGTAGGCTCTCCGCGAGCTGTGTAGCTCTCGCTTGGCACGGCCGTGTCTACTGCTGTGTGTCGTGGGCTTCGTCATACGTGCGCCGTAGGCTGCGAAGTTGTGCGCATGCCTGAGGTCGATGGGGTGCTATTTCGGTGCTTATAACTTGCTCAGCGCGCCAGTGTAAGCATGCTTTTCTGGTGTCTTCCATGACCTCGAAGTCAACCACAGACGGCGATACATGCCGAACCAGGCACCCTGAGCTCCCAACATTGTCATGATTGGATAGGCAGGCCTGTCGGAGTGAATTTGCTATCGGGATCTCCTAAAGCGGAAGGTGTTTGCTTAGTCTATACTGCTGTACCCGAAGAAGAAGAGGCAGGCACCATGCGGGCGTTCTTACGTCGTCGCGACCGGGATGGCAGAGCGTCTCGACGGCTGCAGCAGGCACGAGAATGGGTCGACGGCTGCAGCTCCACCAAGATGGGTTACTGGGAGGTGAGATGGCAGGGTGACAGCGTCATTTTTCAAAGGCGGGGGTCGGTTTTTATAAGCCAATGCACAGGAGCGCTGCAGGCTAATTTTCTGTATTGCACTGCCTACACCGACTTCGTACAAGTTGCTGGTGCTGCACTGGTGTAGTCCAGACTACCGCAGACAGTAGTGGTGATTGCGTATACAGGGTCGTTGTGTACAGCAGTTCATTTCATACCGTCCCAAAGACGTAAGCGCAGGCGCTAGAGTCGGTCGCGGGGCAGGGGGGGGGGGAATACGCGCGTTGCAGCCCGAAAGAACACTTGTCGCGAAGCCAACGAAAGAGGGCGGGAGGTCTGACAAAAAGAGACGATGAGGATGGATCGTGTTTCGTTGTCTCTGACAAGCACTGCACTCACGAGACCTCCAAGAGCACGTGCGATGAGCCTGTCTCGACCCGTGATGTCGGGGCCTTAACAGCTATCTGTAGAAATGTAGGGAGACTATCAAACCTACGTGAACACCATGCGTTTTGACCTCTGTATGGCCAAACCCAAGATAGTGACCCTTTGCACCCCCCGAAGCATCGGGGTAGGCTAACCCTGTGTGTACTTGTCGGTCGGTGCATCGAGAATTCTGTTAAGTGTTGTTCAACACTTGCCTCCTTGCAAGTATCTCGTCCCGACTTTTGTGCTTGTCCCATCAAGCCTGCCCGCCACACGCACAACGGGCATTGGTTATTAGTTACACTCACATAGTATCTCGTTCGACGTCGCCAATGTACTCGGTGCGACAAATGAGACCGGCGAAAGATCCGCACAGCACTGCGACATCGACAGGTGGAATCGTCATTGTAGCGTGTTTCAAGAGCCTAGGCGATGTAGCGTCATGCTACTGTACGTAACAAGCCCCGCTGCCTTTCGTTCTGTTTGGAAAAAAATTCTGAATAACTTTGCAGGACCTCAAGGCAGCGGAAGCGGATCGGAGGGAGCAGGCGGCGACGGCCATGCAGGCCGCATATCGGGGCTGGGAAGGTCGCCAGATCGCAGCCGACAGGTCAGGGGTTTTCAGCATGTTGCTTCGCATTGATGGCCTAACCGGCTGATCGAATGACCAAGCGTCAGCATTTAGGGACAAACATCCAGAAAGCGTTCTGGGGCCCCTCGACAGGTTGGGGGGGGAGGAGGAATGGCAACAGAAGGAGAGGATTTAGCCCCCGGGGTTCAGTGCACCTGGAAAAGAAGGCGTCACTTATACCTGTGGTATGTGTCGTCCGTTAAATCGGCCGCGCTACCCGGTTAGCCGGCCAATCAGCGTCGGTCTCGGCGGAGACACCTATACAAGTGTGGACTGTTGGTGTGCTCCCGCCGCTCCTCCACGCTTGGCGTACACCGCTCCTCCATAGTTGAACAGTGTGAAAGGCGGGACGGTCATCCTTGAACAATGGATGTGTGCCTCAGCAGGCCTCCTACTTCCGGTTGGGTCTCTTCGATGCTTCCTCTTACCACGGACTCCTAAAATCTATTACTGAATAGACCGTTAAAAAAAAGCAGTGCTATTAGAGCGGCCGCGCTCTTGTACACACTGGACGACTGCAACGTGTTTCTGAGTCGCGGGTCCACCGACAGTGCTGTAAGGGGATGTCGTGCGGAAGAGGGTGGACCGTTGGGTACAGTCTCCTGTTGTGAATCAAAGGCTTTCCCTTTTCAAAGGAGTTTTTTTCTTCTGTTCCACAACAGCCTTTCTATGTTCGTCGTGAAACGGCTGTACAAGAAAGTACCTCTCCCATGGTCGAGGTAGTCTCTGCAGATTGCAGCTCCCATCATCCGGAGCGTTTCCCACTTGGAAGGAACCGCCTTCTCTCCGACCCCCCGTGCCTTCCTTCAGGTGGTGTTCGCCTCCGTAACGGTACGACTGGTAATACACCCTATGCATACAGTACATGCGTTCATATCCCCAGGTCACAGACCAAAACCTGGTGGCATGCATGTTGTTTCTTCTTCTTTTTTTGCCAGGTCACGACCAAAACCTGGTGGCATTCATGCATGTGTTTTGTTTTTAAAGTCCTTCGTTTTGCAATCACACCAACCTACCGTCAAACGCAACGGGCTTGCGCCCGCCGCCCGCCGTGGGTGTAGGTAGGCTGGTCGTTGTTCTGTTGTTCACGGCTTTACACCACCACACCCCTCTACACCAAAAAACGAACAACACGGCAGACGTGCCCGCGTGGAGGCGGCGACGTGCATCCAGAGCCGGTGGAGAGGCGTGCTGGGGCGTCGTCGGGCGACGGAAGAACGTTGGAAACAGCTGCAGGTGAGTTGTTTTTCCCCGCACATACATATGCTGTAAGCAAAGGGGCTCAACGATAATTCAAGGAGTGTCGACTGGAGGAACGATTACACGAGAGTAGAAGTTCCCAAAACGCATCCGCAGGACTAAGACATTGCAGCAAGGAAAAGGAAGACCGGAGGGGGGGGGGGGGGTGATTCCATAGTTTCCAACTGTCCCCCAGCCTCGCTGTAGACAGGCCCAACTTTAGAAAAAACGCGGTGACGTCACAGCGGTGGCGACCGCCGCTATCGGGTCTCTGCCTCTCTTCTACTCAAGACGCGTGCAAAGCCGAAACCTTTGTGTGGCATTCGCCGAGAGGGGGTGCTGGAGCGTATCCCCGGGTTTCCTTTTCCCGGCCAATGAGTTGACCAAGCTGCCGCTTTTTCGGGTAAAAACAACAGGAAAATAGTTGTGGCAGCGGCGGCAGCAAAGAGCTAGGTCAGTCCCGGGGCTTGTCGCACCACGCCATGCCTCTCCCGAAAGCAACGCTCCTTCCTCGTGCGTGCCCCCTTCGGCTTCGTTTCATATCACGGCAATGGAATGGGGTTCATTCAACCTTCGAACACGGAAACACAATGCAATGCCTTGGGGTAGCTCGAACGAGCCAAGTACGGGCAGGGGTCAGAACGGCTATAATTTTTGAAGAGGACGACAATAAAGACGACGGCAACAACAGATACAATACATTGAAACAACAGGTGGTGCGGACGTCATACTCCCTCAAGCTGTTGACCCAACGCAGCCGACAGGTCCAGGAGGTTGGGGGCTGGGTGGAGTACTTCGACCCCGATACAAGCGCCTTCTGGTACCTCGAAAATGTGAGATCCTACAAGCATGCGCCATGCACGATTCTACCGGATGCGAAGGTGGATTTCGTCTTGCGTTGGATGCCCCCATGTCTTGTCGTGAACAACGTGCACGTCAGAGATGATAAAACGCTTGTGAACCGCTCTTGTTGGAAACGTTCTTGTTGGCGCGCTGTGCGTGACGCTCGTGTTTGGGCTTCGCTTCCACGTTGGTTGTGGGCGGCCGGGGAAAGGCGGGGGGGCACGGGTGGCGCGTATATGGCGGAACCCTTGGTCCTTTGGCTATAGGCGCGCTGTCACATGACCCTGGAAAGATGGTCATACTTGCGAGTGTGTGCATAACGTGTATTGTGCATGATCATCATCAACCGTACAACGGACAACATTTCATTTCGGGGGAGTGCAGAAGGCAAAGTACCGCAGGAGGGGAGGGTAGAGAGGGGCTCTTCTGTGTGACCACGCGTTGGAATAAACGGCAATATTAATAGTACTGTGAGCGCTGATTTGAAGTGAATACCAAAAGAAAAAAAAAAGAAGTGCGGCAGCATCCCTTGTTGCTATTGCTGAGGAAATCATGCTCTATGGCATGTTGTTTACAAGTACCTCTACGGGGGATTTTTCTTTCCGCTGTCTTCACCGTTTTCAATGTCTAGAAATTATGATGGACTTTCGTATGTCTAGTATCATCTAGCAGGTGTCCCTTTGCCCTCGCTGCTGTAAGGACTTCAACACACACCCTTCGGACGGAGAAATATCTCATACGTGGGGGAATCTTTCATTGTTGTTCTGTGTGCGCTTTTGGCTACATGACGAGCAGCCAAAGTGGCCATACGAGAGTGAAATGTGCGGCATGTCTGTCTCTCGGTGAACCATTTGCATCGCGCAGTCGAAAGCTGGGTGAACCTTCACATCTTTTGATGCTACGGAGTGGCTGTCGTCGTCTGCAGCTTCACTTTTGTCGGACATATTAGTTCCTCTTTGCCTAAAGCTAGGTAGCTCTTACTGTTTCGTTTCTTGCTTGTTTGTTTGATGTTCGTTTTTGACCTTTCTGTTTCAACCTCGTACTGAATTTACACAGGTAAGCAATTGAAATACAATGATTTTCACGCAAGACCCTTCCGACCTGTACGTTTTGCGCCAACGACGTGCGCTCCGATTTCAGTCCACGAAGCACAGCACGTGGAACGCGCCGAAAGACTTTTCGGACTCAATGACGTGCGTGTGGGACCCGTGGCCAGTGCCTTACTCAAGCCCCCTCGACAAGCCCTGCCGAAAAGTTTTTACGTGAGTTATTTCTTGTGGGGTACCTTTGACATCCGTGATTTTTAACTACGAGGTGGTTTCAGATGGGGGTAGCACCGGTAAAACCTGTCAAAGAGCTATCCCGTAGTAGGCACCCTCGCTGTCAGCGATGTCTACTCCTACTATCACGAATACCACAACCACTACTTCTCCTGCCATGCCTACGGCTTCAAGGGTATGGTAGCTGGTAACGACGTTAATATCTGGATCGCGTAGTTTTGCGGCCATAAGCCAGGCCAAATGCCTCTCTCTCTCTCCGCATGATGGAGTTGCTGTTTTTGCTGGGCGACTGCAGGCATGGTGGCGCATGTGATGTTGTCAAGTCATGTCTACGATGAACATGACCTACCGCCTCCTGTGCATGTATATGATGATGTGAGCTTGTACTTTTTCGACTACTGTGTACGAAATAAAGTTTTCGCCCGAATACGCTCCTCTTTTTTTGCGTAGCGCTGAGCTCTTGACACACGTTATTGACCATCACATACACCAGGCGACTTTGATAGACTCATTTCCTTCATGCTGACTTACCTATTACCGACGCCTTTCTACGTTAGGAAGAACCGCGCCTGGGCATTCGCTCTATGCCGTTCGAATACAGTTCGGCCTTCACCCCAAACTTGGCACCTGAGCAGCCCCCACATTTTCTCCTGCCGGCGGACGTGCTTGCGATTGTTGTTGTTGTTGTTGTTGTTGTTGTTGTTGTCGATGTTGTTGTTGTCTTCACATTAAAAAATGTTCCGTTCTCTCTACCCAGTACCTTCTTCTGACCGTATTAGTCAAGAACTTGACGCGGTCGATTCCCGTGGTCGCAGGCTAACTTACCCCCCAACAAAGTTATACTTGGAAGCACTAAAAAAAATTGACCAGAGGGGTCCGCAAGCCAACAGCAATCAACGATTACAAGATACTTTTCAAAACCCACAACCCCAAAGCCCCCCCCCTTCCCCCGTCCCCGGTGTTTGCCATCGGGGTTGGGTTTTCGTCGCTTGGCAACGACGTTGTAAAACATGCCGCCCCCCCCGTTGTCATCGGGGTTGGGTTTTCGTCGCTTGGCAACGACGTTGTAAAACATGCCGCCCCCCCCGTTGTCATCGGGGTTGGGTTTTCGTCGCTTGGCAACGACGTTGTAAAACAAGCCCCCCCCTCGGTGATTGCCATCGGGATTGGGTTTTCGTCGCTTGGCAACGACGTTGTAAAACAAGCCAATTCACTTCGTGAACTCGGCAGCCAGGTTACCGTTTTTTTTTTTACCTCGTTTTTTTTTTTGCGGTAACCATAGTGGTGGTCGAGTAGATCATGTTGTGCGGGGTCGAGAACCCTCACTCCGCGCAAGGGGGATGATCGCACCACGTTGTGTTATAATGGTCAAGCATCCTCGAGGCAGTTACACAGTGCTTACAACTGTCTCTGGAAGTGAAAGCACCAGAAAATAAATTAAGTCATACGCAGCTGTCATCCGTACGCAAGGAAGTAAGCACAAGATGCCGAACACCCTTAGCAGGATGCAGCTCACCCTTCATGCGACTCGCCGCATACCTCACGGCGCTTCGCGCTTGGTGATGTGAGAGCCTGGTCCGGTGAGAACCCGGCGTGCTCCGTCCCGGCTTTGTAGGGATGCGAGGTCAATGGTCTAACGACTACGGGCATGCACGACTATGAGTACACCCCCCCCCCCCCTTCCCTCTCTGTACGCCTGCTAACATACATGCACACGGGGCACACGAACACTGACGATACGTGTCAACGTCGTCGTCGTCTTTTTTCAGAAACATGGCCGAGTTTCAGGCCCACAGGCTGAACGCGCACCCGTGGCAGTGCGCCTCCTGGGGACAGCGGAACTCCGGGATGACGTTTCCCCGGTGCGAGCTGTGGGACAGCAAGGTACAGCAGTACCTGTACGAGAGGGCGTGCGTCTTTTTACAAGTAGCCCCCCCCCCGGTTTAGCGACCCCCGGTTTAGCGACCCCCTGTTTTGCGATATGCCCTGTTTAGCGACAACCAAAATCACGTCGCACTGCCGCACCCTCGGTAGTACAACTGCAACATAATTGTTAGTTCGGATTATTAGCGACCACATTTCGTCGTGACAGTAGGGGGCGCTAAACCGGGCCCCCCACTGTTGTCAGCATCGACCGCACCAACCGGCCGAACAATGAAAAGACGTCAGCCTCAGTGCGGCTGAAAACACAAAATGCTTCTAAATGCCATTATCTGGGACCCCGTGAGGTGTGTGTGTGTGTATGTGTATTACTATTACCATCGACCGCGCTAACCGACTGACCAATGAAAAAACGTCAGTCTCAGTGCGGGTGAAAACACAAAACGTGTGTGTGTGTGTGTGTATTATTATTGGCATCGACCGCACCAACCGGCTGACCAATGAAAAGACGTCAGCCTCAGCGCGGGTGAAAACAAAAAATGCTTCAAAGGGCGTCGTGTGCCTGCCTGTGTTTGCCGTCCCTTTTCTTCCGAACGTCAGTCTCTTTGCACCTCTCGGTGTAAGCTACAAATACTATATTTCTGGAGGAATCAGCCGGTGTCGCGTTGGGTGAGAGATAGAGGACAGAATGGAACCGTCCAACGGTTAACGTCATGATACCAGTTACATATTAACAGGGATGGTGGCAATAAAGGAGGGTGCGTACTAAAGCTCTTGACTGCTTTTGGTGTCTGACGAGACATGCATGCCCCCCCCCCCCCCCCCTCTCCCCCCAAAAGACCCAAAAAAAAAAAAAAGGCCGGGCCGAAGGGGAGGAACTCCAAAAAGGCCTGGGGGAAACCCTTTCGGGGGCCCTTCCGAAAAAGAAGGCTGGACTCCCCCCCCGTCCA